GCAATCGTGTGGTGTCAAGGTCAGTCAGCATCTACCCGGGGCCCTGTGGGGCCGCGCTCATCCATCAACAGAGCCAGCCCATCGGGTCACGTCGCTACACTGACCAGATTGCTTTAAACCACGTTGTCGTAACAGTGACATGAGGGACGGTCCTTGAACTCAACATTTCACTCGTTGCCAGCTAGTAACAGCTCCCCGACACCGGGAGTTATGCATCCCTGCTCCTACATCGGTGCTTTCTCCACCCCCACGTAATGAAGATGCAGAAGATAAACAATGCATTTTACAGACAATGGACACAAAACTGCCCTGGCTCCGGACACATCTGCCACGCACGCAGCAGTTCACCAGGAGAGGCTGAAAAACATCTTTACAGTCAGACAAACACATGCAATTTAGAGTCATCAGTCAACCTGGCATGCAAACACCACACAGAAAAGGCCTGGTCACCTACGAACCCAGAAACGTCCTGCGCTGAGGCAACAGCGTTAACCACTGCACCACCATAAGAAGAGGCTAAACTAGGAAGTACTTACAAGTGGCCATGTGTCTCTTTTTCATCTCCCTCAGTTCAGTGTGTAGTGAGGAGATCTTTTGTTTTTGTTGTATGACTTTGTCCATCTGGGCCTGTGCAAATGTCTCTGCTGTGTAGCAGCATGGTTTGTCCTTGGACAGTGTCATCGTGTCCACAGTGTGGAGCAGCTCAGGGACCTGCTGCCCGTCCTTGATGCTGAGAACAACACATCTTCCTCCACAGCTCTGTCTGAGCTCCTGGATGTCTCTGCTCTTTCTGACAAAGTCAACAACAGCTGGAGCTGTAGGATCTGACTCCACAGTGAACAGGATCACGGTGAAGTCCCTGACTCAAGAGCCAAACGTGTCCCGGATGGTCTCTAACTCTCCCTTGTCTTCATCAGTGAGGGGATCCACAGGTAGGACCAGGATGAGGGCATGGACGCCCTCAGGACCAAAGAGGGAGATACACCTGAGTGATTCCTCCATCACGGCCTCTGGAGGTTTTCCATACAAGGCAGGCAGCTCCACCAGGGAAACCTGACGTCCACACACCTCTGCCTGATGTTTAACACACTGTGGGGAGTTGGAGACTGAGTGAAGCTCTGTCTGACCTAGAATGGTCTTGGCTGCTGAGGTCTTCCCTGCTCCTCTCCTCCCACACACAACCAGGTTTAAAGCTGGCTTCGGTCTCATGGCTAAACCTCCAAACAATCTCATGATGAACTTCAGAGTTTCCCTCTTCTTCTCTGTGAACGTTGAGGGCTTCACTAACAGCAGCAGAACGTTTTGTCCTGGACAACACAGACTCTCACAGCTCCTCAGCTCCTCTTTCACCATCTCCTCAGAAAGGCTGAAGATGTTTGGGACTTTAACTACAACCACAGACTGTTCCTTCCACTCCCCGTAGGTGACCACACACTGTCTGGCTGGAGGCTGTTTCTGGAAATGAGCCCCTTGTGTACCGATTATGAAGTTTCCAAGTCTTGTCTTTTCCCTTTCGCTTTTTCCCAGCAGCACAATTCGGAGTGCAGATTCTGTAATACAACCAAGAGAGAGACACAACTCATGGAAATGATCTGTTGAACAGAACCACAGCTTGTATTAAGGAATGAAAGGAAAGTCTTGGAAATCCATTTCCCAACAAAGTGGCCCTTCTGTTTTGGCTGTAAGAGCTAACCAAGGTGTGTTTGGTCTGAGGACAACAGGAGGTCACATGAATTGTGACACCACGCAGTTTGTGCAGTGCCCCTTCTGTGTGGAAGTTGGGCCAGCTGACACCACCCATTACACTCACTTACTGGTAACTTTACCGGTGTCCGAGCGAGGAGAGGCTGTTTCCTGTCTCCGTCTCTGCTGGTCACCAGGTGGAGCAGATGCTGGATCTCCAAACGCTTCACTCCTCATGTGCTCTCCTCTGTTCTCCTCCACAATCTGGTACAGGCGTGCCAGCAGTTCTGACGGTTCTGTGGTCTTCCTCCATAAAAACGGACCTCTACACAGGCTGATCATGTGTTTTAGGGGGGAGTGGTTCATGTAGCCTTCCCTGACACCTGACCTCTCCTCTCTGGATTCTGGTATCAGAACCAGTGAGTGATCACAGTAACGGTCACTGACATATTCAAGGAAGGTGCAGAGCCTCAGTCCCTGCTCCTCAGTGAAGCCTTCAGGCTGTAGGACCAGCAGGAACACATGAGGTCCAGGAGCAGAGAGTCGCACACAGTCATCTATATGTTTAGTAAGTTTGTACTGGGAGACACCAGGATGCAGCAGGTCTGGGGTGTTGATCAGAACTATCGGTTTCTCTTCGATCAGTCCTCTGACTCTCAGACAGTCGGCTGATTCTTTCTCAGTGTTGAATCCAGTCTTTCCCAGTATGAAGTTCCCCACTGAGCT